CCCCCCCCCAAGCTTTTTACACTGCCCAGGGCCTTAGTTTTCTGGCAGAGAAAGTGTTCAGCAGTCCTCAGAGCCTCAAAAGCCAATCTCTGAGACAGCCTGCAACCTAGATACAAAGGACTATATCAGCTATTGAGTTTTGAATGGTTTTCTAGGTGGAAGACAAAAAGATTCCAGCGGCTTTTTTTTTTTTTCCTTGGAGAAATACAACTTTTATGACCAGCTAATTTAAAAAAAAAAAAAAATTATAGCAGATTCCTAAACAGCTGAATCATGCCTTCACTTGCTGATCAAGGACAGAAGACAACTGCAGGAACATGGTGTCTTGTACCAAGGAAACACGTCAGCTGTAGAGCATCGCATCAGTACATGCCACAACATACCAAAACCTGGAACTGCAGCAGTAACTTTCAAGGCTCTGGCCTGCTTATGCTTGGCTGATGCTACCCAGGAAAAGTGCCAGAAATCACTGGGAAAAGCACTTCACCGGAAAGGTTGCAGATGAGAGAGAATAGCCATGTAGCATCATTAATAGTAATTACCTACCCACCATCCTGTGTCCTCCACAGCCTCTCCAGAGCAGAGGCCAGCAAACTCTGCTGTGACGGAGCTGCTACTGCTTCACATAATTCAAGTGCTACTAAGATGCCCTGTTTAGATGGCAAAAGGAACACTGAACAATGTAAACAACAGTTTATACCAGTCTGATTCAGTTGCCTGAAAAAAGGTTTCACGCCCACATAAATCAACGTCAGACTTTAGAGCAAAAAGCCTCATTCTTATCCAGCACCATATTAAGTCCAGAAAAGCACAGCTATCCCAACCTGAAGCTACACCCTGCAGGAGGCTCCCCCCAAAGGTCCAGCATTGCAGCTGGGTAAAGTTTTCCCACGGATTTTCCCATCAGAAAGTGAAGCTGTTAGACATTTGCCAACAACAAAACTCCACCACTCAAGGGGAAATCAAAACATACAAAGATTGCTTCAACGCATGATATTTGACTAAGCACTTGAATTTTTATTTCAGAACATCCACCAGTGATTTTTCCCTCCCTTCAATTTTTTTATTTCCCCCTCTGCTTTAAACTAGAATAGGAGATTCTCACATGGCAAAGTGCCATTGGACAAAAAAAAAAAAAAAAAACCAAAAAAAATTTTACCAGCTTTCCCAACATCACTGTTTAAATCAGCTTTAGATGGTTTTATACAACACTTTATAGACTTGGAGAGGGACACGTTCCCCTAACATAGCATCAGCTATCCAAACAACTGAGGCATGGGAAAATCATGCAAGAGTGTGAATTGGGGAAGGCCTTTGGTGAGCAGAGGTACAGTCCGCACTCATGTAAGCATGGTAGTTCTGAACAAAGATCTGCAGGGCTAATAGATATGTAAGACAAATGACATGTGGTTCTCATTGCAGGTCATGCTTTGGGAAGGGGGTACATTGGAACAGATCCAGCTGGGATAGGTTTATCCCATTACTCTCCTATAATCTTCTGCTGTTTCAAACCCCTTGACAGTTACTGTAGTTTAACATCACACCCCCTACAGACTGAGGCCTGTTTGACAGGCCAGCAAACAAAACCACCCCCACTTGAAGATGAAATATGCACCATATGCGAGAACCGTGCAAGGCACAAGGCTAGTGCCCACTCATGTACTTCTGTGACACGCCGATGTAAATCTGGTGTGTCAATGCCTTAGCTCAATTCCTAGTCCAAATAAGTGGTGCTAACATAAGCCCTTCTCCACAGCAGCATAACTCACGCATACTAGGTAGCAAATGGAGGAGGAAAAGAGGTAGAGACAGGATGGACGAGCCCTGAATATTAAATTCCCAAGTCCCCATTTAAGGGAATTGCAGGGAAAAAAAAGTGAAATTCAAGAACAACTGGAATCAGGTTAAGCCACTCTCTCACTTTATACAGTGCGGCTCATTCATCTGAACAGCTGTTTCACCTCTGGAGAAATATCCAGAGAAAACAGAGGGGAGGGGGAGAAGCCTAAATTGTTTGCTCTACTGAAGCAGCAAGATACAGTAAATCAAACCCGATTTACATTAAGCTTATAAGAAAATGGTTTGGGGTAGGGAGGCAGAGGAGAAGAGTGGGAGGTTTGGTTTTAAATAGCTATTTGAAGGCTGCAGCTCTTCAATAGAGATCTGTAATTAAGGTCTTTTCCTTTGTTGAGCTGAACCAGTCTCTCCTTGCATCCGAGGGCTATAACAGTTCCCTCTGCCGGCACCGCCAGCCTCCAGGCTCGGGAGGTTTTTAAGGCTCTAGCTGCGCGCTGCCCCACCGGCCCGGCGAAACCACCTTCCCCTCCGAGGGGCTGGGGCAGGAGAGACGGGGAGAGCTTGCGGGTTTCAGGCGCCAGAGCGCAGCTCCTCCACCCCCTCGTCGCTCCCGGCCCCGGCGAGGGACGCTGCTGCGGGCGG